AGAGAGAGAGAGAGAGAGAGAGAGAGAGAGAGAGAGAGAGAGAGAGAGAAATGAAAGCTACCTTAAGATTGATCAGACTATACGAACGATAATAGAATATCTACGATTCCATGTGATTGTCTGTAAATACATAGTATAAATACATACGTTAATTATAATATACTGTACGTGTTACATTACATAACGTTGCTGTGTCATTTCTGGAACGTACGAGAAAAAAGTATGAGGAATGAGAGAATATGAAAACGAATAAAGAAAGGCGCATTGAAAAAGGGTCTGGCCGCCTATGCTAACCGGCTAATGGGGAACGTAAGCTGCGAGCCTTCGTTCCGAGTCTCCGTAATTGCCAAATGATTTTTCATACGAGGCAAACCGCTTTAACCTCGCCGATGGGAAATAAAACTGTTGTTGCCAGACGGTGCTCGGTTCCAGAAAGCACCTTGGTGTCTTGGACGCCCGGGTTACGTACGAAGACTCGCCGCTATGAGGATAGCACGGGCTGGCCACACGCGATATATGTAACACTTACTTAAAGGATAAAATTACTGTATAAGAGATTAATGAGAAACACATAAATATTGTCCGACATAACCAACAAGAGAGACAGGTTCGTTGGACTGACGTTAAAGCGTTGGTCGAATGACGCAAATTTATGGTAAAAGGAGCGACGGGGAACGTTAGCGGGTTAAAGCTTAACGATATTATTTTATTTCGTCTGCTGCGCGACAGTTTTTCCCCGATCGATTTATTCACGACGATCGGGCGACGATCGGTATATCTAACGATCGGCTTACCGACGTTAACGATAGACGGTAAAGAAGATCGACGCTCTATGGGAAATCCAGTCGCTCGCAGTTCTCACGTTCCCGGTCGTTCCTTTGTGAAATCGTCTAGGTATCATAGCAGCATTAATTTTTGTACTAATATCTATTGTAGTATTATAAGTATACCCATCTTTATGTTCGGCCACTTTACCCGCGCGTTGCATCGTGGTTTTTTACGTATTCAGTTTTATTATTTGATTCGTCCACGTGGATCCGGGAATGACGGTCGTGCGACGATTAACGAAGTATATGTTTTTATTTTATATATATATATATATATATATATATATTTAATATTTATATATTAAATAAAATATATAATAAAGTCAACGACTAAGGGCAAGTTTTTCAAGATTACGAAGTATGACAGCTCTGATTTGTTTATTTCGTAACAGTGCTGCATAGTTGTGAATTGGACTTTTTTTTTTATTTTTCCACGACCGACATACCCGGAATTGACAATCTTTTCTTTGTACCGACAACAAACCTACGATTAATTCAAGCTGGCGTACGCGTGCGCTTACGCGGCTCGAATTACGCGTGGGAAACGCTCGCGGACGTTCCGCAGACGAATTGACCAATCGGTCCGGAAGGTCCGTTCGATTTTGTTTTAGCGAAGGATTCTAATTAATCGTTAAACTGTCTTGGTTCGCTGATTTCGAGCGTTCGACGAACACGCGTGTTCGCTGCGGCTTGTCGAGCGAGCGGATAAGGGAACGGCATGTGAAAAAAAAAGAAACTAGAACGCACGCCTCGTTTCGCGGATTTAAGCCTACGTAAATGCAGTTAGTGTTTGTGGAAAAAAAATACACTATTGAATCCACGAGATGATGCTGAGAGTGAGACAGATCATAGCGATGAGACGCTCGATGAACGAGAGAGAGATTTCTTGTATGGACTGTGGCACGTGGGTATGAAAGGCATGGGTGTCGAGTGTGTGTGTGTGTGTGTGTGAGAGAGAGAGAGAGAGAGAGAGAGAGAGAGAGAGAAATGGATGGCGTTTTTGGAAATAAAAAAGAGAACGAAAGAATGATTCATTGAATTATTAAGCTACGATGCGGATTGATGTAGAGCGTGACGGATGAATTGACTCTGAGATACAGTCAGAGTGTGGGAGGGAGTGAGAGAGCTAGAGAAATAGGTGAGAGAGAGAGAGAGAGAGAGAGAGAGAGAGAGAGAAAACGAGGGAAAATATAATAAAAAAATAAATGTTATGATCATACATTCGCAATTTCGAAATACTTCATTACCCGCATAATATGCATAAGTTGAGCCTCGGTTTTGAAAATATGTTTACTCTCCTTGAATTGAACAGCTGCGAGTTGGAAATTAAATGATAACATCTTGTCCAATAGGTGCATCCATTTTGATGTCAGCCTTATAACCTGTAAGAGTGAATTGTAGCTGTTTGATTCACGGAGTGACGTCAAGAAAAGTACTTTACATACGAGTTTTCGTTTTTAAACTATTGTGGCATGGGCGAAGACCACCCCCGTTCTATGTGTGTAAGAACCATAAAGCTTAATGAAGAACATTATAAAATAAACTTACGGGATACGAAATAAAAATAAGCCAAATCGTTAGTTATAGTTTCGTGTTGATCCCTGCATTCACTTTCCTTTTCTTATTTGATTACTGTAGACGGTCGATTCAGTGGACAGCGCCTTCTTGGATATATGCAGGTCGTTGAACAACGTTTTAATTGGGTATAAGGTAAATAAATAAATATATTCTGGGCATATTATTGGGTCGATTGAACGTAGGGACCGTTGGCGGTTCTGTCGACTGAATATGACAATTCTAGTTGATGAAAAGATACGTGATGAAGTGCTGGCGAGAAAATAAAGAAACTTGATAATTTAAAATAAGTTCATATTAAATTCTTACAGATTAAATGGCTCTTCGACTAGCCCTTGTAATTTTTAAACTAGCCCCTGAAGTTGTATTTTCGCGGAGAACATCAATCTTAGTTCCGACAAATTCCACCAAATGGCGCTGCTGAGGCTAGTTCTAGTTTCGAAACAAAATTCATTAGGGGGTGCGGAAAAATAAATTAGCCTCTAAAATTCCATTTATCTATTTGCAGAGGTAAGTAGGGAAATGCACAACGCTACGATTTTAGGCGATACGAAAATCATGGCGCTAAATCAGAGCGGCGAGTATGGAAGTAGGATTTTGTGGCCATTGCCTCCCTCCACAATGCGAATCCCGTCGTACCCGACTTAAACGAGCACACGAACGCGTAGTTTGGCGGGTAGAGCTTCTCCGCTACTTGACGCTGCTTCCCAGAGCAACCCTTAGAACGAGACCGGGAACTGTAGAACTTCTCAACAACAAGACTTGCAGAAAATTGTGAAATACACCCTAAAACGATAGCGGTGAACCAGAGATGAGTAAAGAGATTTCAACTGGCATTACCTAAGATTACATTCTCAAGCATCTTCAAATAACAAGTAAAATTTGATCTTCTATTTGAAGAAAGAAGGAAAAAATCAGTTACACAGAAATATTGAAAATATGAAACATTGAATAAAGCTTTCCAAATGTTATTGAATATTATTGGATAAATAAAATTGAGTCTAATTCAATATCTCCCAAAATATAAGGAGTAGATAAAAACTGAATCGAAATTATAAAATGTCGAAAATAAATTACGCTCTCATTGAAATATTAATAAATTAAGTGTTTGGAATATTAAAATAATTAATTGAATCAATAAAGTTAGATATTAACACTTGGAAATCAGAAATCCTGGTGAAGAATATCAAGAGACTCGGTCGAGTCTCGCGCCAAGTACAAGCAACCGGCTGTACAGGGCGCAGCGCGCCGAGACTCTTTACTCGAGTCAACTCCTTATCCCCCAAAAAACACTTACGTGTAAAAAACTACGCCAAGTACAGGATTGCTGTGAATTCCTCTAACAAAAAGTATTGATATCATATTATTGAGGCCAAGTACATAAGTCACTACATGTTTTCCTATTATATGATCTAGCACTGGCCCATCATTTTAATTATATTTTCAATATTTCCTATAACGTTTTCGCTACTTTTTTATGTTACTACTGCTTCCCGTATTTAATTATGACTTAATGGTGATTTAATAATTAATAAAACTTTAGATGATTCCTTATCGAGTACTACTTGGTGGGTCCGTGCATTTCTTGATATAAATTTGGTACAAAACCAGTACCAATTGTCTATAGAAAGCATATTAACAATAACTCGTCAAAAATAAACACGGTAAAAGCTTAATAACAAACATACAGCATTAGAATACTATGAGCACGTATAAAGAGTAAGTACTTTGGAATTCCTGGCACAGACCCGCCAAGTAGTACTCGATAAGGAATCACATAAAGTTTTATTAATTATTAAATCACCATTAAACCATAATTAAATACGGGAAGCAGCAGTAACATAAAAGAGTAGCGAAAACGTTATAGGAAATATTGAAAATATAATTGAGCAAGTTGCAAAAAGTAAAGAGATTTTTTGAAAGTGCCCTATAGCAATTTGATCTGTACCAATCTCTTCC